ATACATACACATACATACATATACACACAAATACATACATATACACACACACACACACACACACACACACACACACACACACACACACACACATATATATATATATATATATATATATGTTTTTTATTTGTGCTGATAAATAAATAAAGGGAGACTAGTATAGCTCTATTTCAAGCTATTTAGCTCTCATCAGCTAGCCATACCCTTACTAGGCTAGCTGATGAGAGCTAAATAGCTTGAAATAGAGCTATACTAGTCTCCCTTTATTTATTTATCAGCACAAATAAAAAACACAAATATAACATATATATAACATTTTTTTTTTGATGCCATGTCTGACTGATTCAATGACATCCCCAGGGCTAACAGGCATTCCATGCTATTTCAAGCCGTTAGACATATATTTGTGATTAAGCACAAGTGCTAATGGATGAGCCAATAGCAAAAGGCTAACAGACAATTGAGCTAATAATATACGCAGGTTATTGTTACAGAAAATGCTTCGGCAAACAAATGGAGGAACAAAAATGGAAATATTATTTATTAAAACAGTGGTATTGTACATCTCGGAAAGAACTCCTGAGTTGTTGTTTTTTTTAACGGGGTGGCGTTTAAACTTGTCATCTTAAACCTTGCAAAGATAAGACTTACCTCTTCCCAAATTTCATAAAATACTAAAAAGGACTGGCAGTTTAGTTTATTGTTTATTCATCAGTCAAAAAAAAACAACAGACACACACACAACCCTGTCATTTCTAGAGGTCTGGAAGAGGGGAAGGTTCAACCTTGACAGATTCCACTCACGTCATCTATTTAAAATAAAATTTAAAAAATCAGCTTTCCCCCAAAGTGGCCCATTTTCTTTTAACTGCTCCGTCTACTTTAGATTTTTTGAAAAATAAACCCACCTGACATTTTGTTTAAAATTCTGATCCTGCAGATGAATCCCGGCAAACCGAGTTTTTCAAAGAGCGAGAAAGTTTTTCTCAGCGGGACTGTAAATCCCCGAAGGCAGAGATTTATAACAGAAATTTTGACAGCATCCTTAACTATGGAAGTGGCGGTAGGAGCTGCTAATCACATTAAGTTAAGATTATAGACGGGAAAGAAGACTTTGGAAACCTGGCTAGTGGTGCTCTGCTTAATTTATAGTGTTCTTGTCCAGGGGAAATCAAATTTCATAGTTGTGACATTTCTATCCACAGTTACTAAATGATAACTTTGCTGAGCAGGCACCTTTCAGAGACAGGTGGTGGGATACTGCGGAGAGGAGATGGAGATAGACAGCTTCGTTCTGGATGGTGAATGTGATGGATGGGGTAGAGAACAACATCGTTTCATTCAAAGCGTTTCAGGGAGCCAAGATCTTCTGGTGGCAGAGAAGAAGCTCGTGAAAGCTTTACAGAAAGGGCTTCGGAAGACAAATGGCTGAACGAAGATATTCATGGAAAGGTTCTGCCCGAGTGCCATCAGACAAACCTCTGATGCTCTGGTGGAGCCTGTGGAAATGCTTGGTCTGCATTCCTTTACTGCTGGTCTCAGGAGCGGTCGTTTTCACTTCCAAAATTGGCTGGGTCAGCCTTCCCCAACCTGAACATCCTTTATTAGGAGTGCCAGCAGCCTTAGCAAAGTCTCTCTCTCACACAGCAGACTAACAAGTCCATCCGTCCGTGAGATCAATAGTTGTCTGCCACATCTATTCATCTCCACCCCCTGCCTTTTATCCCCAAAACTAGGGTGGGGCTTCAATAGCAGCGGTGGCTTTTCCGTCCTGAGGTTCATCCCACATATTTCCACTGCTCTCCTCTCCTCTGCCTTCTGTGCAGCCATGCATCAGGGACTGGACCCACCTGTTCCTTCTCTTCTTCAGCAGCCACCTCCAGACCTGGGGGCTGTTGACTCTTCATCTTAGGGCTGACGACGGCCCAGGCTCCACCTCTGTCTCTCTCTGTCTCTCCCTCTGTCTCTCCCTCTGTCTCTCTGTCTCTGTCTCTCTCTCTGTGTGTCTCTCTGTCTCTCTCTCTCTGTCTCTGTTTCTCTCTCTCCTCTCTCTCCTCCATTCCCTCTTCCCCATCAGAGCTCTCAGGTTGCCTCCTGACTCCCATGCCTCATCTGATTCCCCTGCTGGAGGGGCCAGCGGCCGAGAGGCCACAACACCAACACCGACAGAGAACTATGTTCAGAGTCTTACCTTTATTACTGAGGCTCCAGCTCTTGAAAGTGGGCTATGCATCTGTGCTGCTGCAGCCATGTTGGCGATAGTATTGAGATGGTTCATTTGATTCATGGCCATCGCTACAGAAGCAGGAGGTAGGCCAACCGGAAGGAGAGGATGGGGCATCATCATAAATGGCAGGTCTATCCCTGAAACACGAGAACAGCAGCCCGTAAATAATTTAAAAGCAGTGATTTCCTAGGGTTTTCACCCATAAAAGAGGGTGAAAGTTTAATGGAACGAGTCAATTAGGACTATAATTAGCTTGAAATGTTTTCTACATTTTTTGCAGGTAAAATTTAGCTTCAGGAATAAGAAGAACAAAAGATTTGTATTAATACATAGAAGAAAAATAGGGGAGAATTCTTTTGTTTAAAATAAAAATAGAAATAAACCTTAGGTGGTTACCCCCGTATTGAAATTAACTATATAATCAAAGGGCACAAATCAATGAAGACACTCCTCTATCGACCAATCTACACCCAAAAAGAATTAATTCTGGTTTTTTTTGCTAAAGTATTATTTTTTTCTCGTTCAAAAGTTTTATTTCTTTTAAAACAAACTTTTCATCATTCCTCAATCAGTAAGACATCGGAGTACAATTTTTTGTGTGTCAAAATAGTTCTAGTTTACCACCAAATTCTTGTCTAGCCTAATGTATACTTTGCTAAAGTATTCTGATGTTTAAAATATAGAGTAGAAATATTGTAATCGGCATCTTTCAAAAGATCTTTATGATTCAATTTTAAGATTGATGGCTGGAAAGACTTGACTTCTGGCAAGCAAAGCCAATCGGGAAATGCCTGGATTCCCTTTAAAGACCACATGACTCACGTAACAACCGCAGTGATTCCCTTAGCGACCACAGCAAAAAGGACTCATTTAACAACGGCCTTGCTTAGTGGTGGAAAATTCTGCTCTCAATCGTGCTTAGAAGTCCCCTTCGGGGCAAAAGGCCAGCATATAAATAAAATAAACATTCAAACATTCAAGTGAAGGACTACTTATTTTTGGAAGACGATATGACACCAGAAGAGATGCTGGGAAAATCCTTATATTTACCTCTAGATTTATATTTACACAATACACCAAGAGCTATGATTGGTTTGGAAGGAATGCGTGCTGTGATATCTCTTGTTTCACTCACTCCATCCAGAGCAACATCAGCTGCTAATGGCAGTCTTTGTCCACTCATTAACTCTTCCCCTGCAGTCGCGTAATCTTTCCTTCTACACCGTGGAGTTTTAGTGCTTCCAGACACCATCTGTCTGAACGGACTTGCTCATCTCTTTACAATCCGATTGACATGCAAACAACATGCAAATGACCAACAGAATGTAACAACCCTTCCGTTGTTTTAAGGGACAAGATCTCAAAAGGTTTTACAAAGGGGAGTGGGGGGAGGCGGTCTGGGGAGGCGGAAAGGAAAGAGAAGAAAATGCACCTGCCTTCTGCAGACCGGGGTGGAATTATTTCTTACTCAATAATCACTCCAAACACCACGCGGAAGACAGCTCAGAAGGCGTCACCGTGGCTATATCAGCAACAACGGCAACAAAATGATATACAGCAGGTTGGGCAGTAAAATAAAATATTTTTGTGGACTTCGCAGGGATGCCAATTGGTTTCTGCTGCGCGAGACCATACTGAAGAGTGCACTGAAGAGTTACAAGGAAGTATGTATATATGTATGCATGGATGCATGCATGGCACAGTGGTTAGAGTGCAGTATTGCAGTCTAACTCTGCCCACAGCCAGCAGTTCAATCCTGACGGGCTCAAAGATGACTCAGCCTTCCATCCTTCCGAGATGGGTAAAATGAGGAGCCAGATTGTTTGGGGGCCATATGCTGACTCTGTAAACCCCTCACAGAGGGTTGTAAAGCACTGTTAAGCGGTGTATAAGTCTAAGGGCTATTGCCCTTCCTTCCTTCCTTCCTTCCTTCCTTCCTTCCTTCCTTCCTTCCTTCCTTTTCTCCTTCCCTCCCTCCCTCCCTTCTCAGTAATTAGAATGCAGTATTTCAGGCTAATTCTGCCCACTGCCAGCTGTTCGATCCTGACCGGCTCAAGATTGACTCAGCCTTCCATCCTTCCAGGTTGCTCAAATGAGGATCCAGATTGTTTTGGGGCCATATGCTGACTCTGTAAACCCCCCAGAGAGGGTTGTAAAGCACTGTAAAGTGGTATATAAGTCTAAGTGCTATTGCCCTTCCTTCCTTCCTTCCTTCCTTCCTTCCTTCCTTCCTTCCTTTTCTCCCTCCCTCCCTTCCCAGTAATTAGAATGCAGTATTTCAGGCTAATTCTGCCCACTGCCAGCAGTTCGATCCTGACCGGCTCAAGATTGACTCAGCCTTCCATCCTTCCAGGTTGGTCAAATGAGGACCCAGATTGTTGGAGGAAAATAGGCTGACTCTGTAAATCACTTAGAGAGGACTGTAAAGCATTGTGAAGCGGTATAGAAGTCCAAGCGCTATTTTTATTTATTTATTTATTAAACTTAGGTGCTGCCCATCTCACCTCTGATGACTCTAGGCAGTTCGCGCTCGCTCGATAAAAATGCCACGTAAAACATTCAAACAATTTTTTTTTAAAAAGAGCCACAATAAGAATCAAGTTAGCTTTTATAATGCGATGTGCCTGAAAGTTAAAACGGCACTGAAGTAAAGAAACTTATGACCGATTCCACACTTACGACCGTTGCAGCGTCCCCTGGGTCATGTAATCAAAATGTGGAACCTTGGCAACTGGCTCGTATTTATGACAGTTCAAAGCCGCCATTGATGGAGCAACCTCAACTTCTGAAGTCGTTCTACTGATCGATTGTTTCCACTGACAGAAAGTTTCTCTTTGATTCTAGGTTAGATCTGTCTTTGATAAGTTTCCATTAGCATATTGCACACACACAAAAAACCCCACTAAATCCCAAATGTAAATGCAGGGGGAGAAGAGAGAAGCTGGAGGAAGACGATTGAAAAAAAGGGATTGAAATGTTCTGGCTTTTAATGACCTCATTGTCCCACAGAGATTATGACATCACTGGGGAACTCCATGTTGAACGCCAACATCTCAACGGTGCCATTAACGCAACGTGCTTAACTGGTTCCCGAATTAACCAATTTGTTGGATTAGCACAAGACATTAACCACCAAATAGTTCTGAAATAACCAAATGGGTTGCATTAACAAAGCATGGTAAGCAAACCCCTTCCCCAAAGTTTAACATGAATCAGTGTTAAACAGGGTAAAGACAGCTACTAAGAAGTTACTCAAAAGATGCTTCAGGCAACCTCAGTAAATCCTGAGGTAAACAGACGAAAGTCACACTCCCCAAACCAGGTTCTAAACAAGAAATGGCAGCTAAAGAGGGTATCTTCCCATGTTTAACGGCAGGGCCAGCCCGCCCCGGGACATTTCTGAACCCGCCAAGATGCTGGAATGTTTTGTGTTTGCATACGTACTGTTTGTGAGCAGATGGTTCTGCTGCAGAGGACTAAGTGGGTGAGTGCTCCCCAAATTGGCCTGCCCTGACAGTGCCGCGTGGCTAATCCCGTGATGAGATCCTGTTGGGATCGGCGACTGAAGCTTCTCTTTATCCCACGAGGATTCACTTCCACCTAAAAAACAACAGTACACAGTACATTAAGTGTTCCCCCTTTTAAAGATAGCTTGTCAAACCTGCCACAACTTACAACTCTAGAAACATTTGTTTCATTTAATAACTTATACCTCTAAATAGCTCCATTTGTTGAGAAAGATATAGTTTATTAGAGATAAAATGTATTGCAGTACTACAAAGACAGAACTGAGAATCGCGTGCCAAAATCCCTAAGTTTAACTCTTCCCTCTGTTAGCTGTCTCTCATTGCCCACCCTTGTGTAACCAATCAGGTTCAGGCAAGATCTTTTCATAATGGTCAGCCCAAGTGGGGTTTGGTACGTGGCTCCCTCCTTATTCTACCTTGAGGCAGCATCTCAAGGAGATACAGCATTTACTTTTGTAAAACACCCATAAGACACCTCAGGGTTGGTGTTCTGTTAAGATACAGCCTGTTGTGCCATACTGTTGTACTGCCTTCTACTGTACAGTGCAGTGGAGTTGCCATGGTAATGGCTTAACAGTATTCCACAAGGGGGCTCCCTCTGGTAAGGGGAAAAATCCAACATTAGAAATTACGTTTGGTTTGGACATTTCCCACCTATAAATAAATACCCGGACAATACCGGGTTAGCAGCTAGTAGTAGTAGTAGTAGTAGTAGTAGTAGTAGTAGTAGTAGTAGTAGTAGTAGTAGAAGAAGAAGAAGAAGAAGAAGAAGAAGAAGAAGAAGAAGAAGAAGAAGAAGAAGAAGAAGAAGAAGAA